GAAAGTAGCCATAGACGTGAGAGAGAGAGAGAGAGAGAGAGAGAGAGAGAGAAGATAAGGGAGCTTGATGATATTTATATCCCAGTCTAGCAAAATATCTGCAAATGAAAACGCCAACAATGAATTTTGACAGTCTCTCTCTTCGTGTGAGGCCAAAAATCGCCATCTTTTCCGAATTCTCAACTAAGAAATTCCTCTTCAAAGAACCAACATGTACGTACTTATCAAAAGTGTCAACATTTCCGTCTCTTTCTGATGTTAAGACACATAATTTAGTTAAAATGACATAAGAGTTTTTAAGTGCTATTTCATCGTCTACAATGAAGATATTAATTTTTTTTTCCAATAATTGATCAGTATATCGTGAAGAAATATGAAAAAATGGGAACATATTTCCGGAACAAAAATAAAGGAAGAAGCAAATGATGTATATTGAATAGTTAAAAGTCAGCTTTTATTTAATTTGCATGTTGATCTCACTAGTGGTGGAAAAGAACCAGGCTATCCCTCCTAAATTATTTTTCTTTAATGAGAGACCCCTCTTAACTAGTTTGAGATTTTTTTTTCAATGAAGATATTTAATTTTTTTTCAATAATTGATCAGTATATCGTGAAGAAATATGAAAAAATGGGAACATATTTTCCGGAACAAAAATAAAGGAAGAAGCAAATGATGTATATTGAATAGTAAAAACTCAGGTTTTATTTAATTTGCATGTTTTCTTAATTTACATGTTGATCTCACTAGTGGTGGAAAAGAACCAGGCTATCCCTCCTAACTTATTTTTCTTTAATGAGAGACCCCTCTTAACTAGTTTGAGAAATCACATGGAGTCATTAGTATTGGGAATTTAAGCCGAAACCCCTAAACAGCAGAAACGCAGTATAGAGAAAATACACCAAGATTTAACGAGGTTCGACAACTGCCTATGTCCTCGAGAGCCACACAATAAATTTCTTATTAATCAAACAAGAAATTACAAACTTAGAGCATATCTCAAACTGAGATCTCCCAATAAATGCTAATTTGTTACTGTAGCTACAGTAACAAATTCCCTTCTTAAATACCCCCTCTTAATTCTCTCTTCCCTTTAATCCCCCCTCTAAAGATTCCTCAAACTTCTGAGATCTGTAGGAACGGAAGAAAAAACGACAGAGGAGAAAATGCCGCCGCTGAAAATATCGAGGAGAAGAACATGCAAAGCCTCGGCCCTGGGGTTTCCCTTTTATAGGGAAACCCTAGCTGAGCTGTCGACAGGCTATCGACAGCCTGGATCCGCCACGGGCTCACCTGGGTGGAGCTTGCCTGCTCCAAACTCGTTTGCACCTCTTCGTCCTCTCCTGTAAAGGCCCCGAGCTCGCCTAAATTAGTCGAGCTCGCCTGCGTCACCCAAAGCTCGCCTAGACTTCGCCAACTCCACCTGATCGCGTCGTCCTCGCCTGGACTTCGCCTGCTCGAGCTTGCCAGAGTTAGGGTCGCCTCGAGCTGCAGGAGGTCGCCTGCAAGGTTTGATTCTTCACTCAAATCCAACAATCTTCAACTTGGAGAACAAACCGCCATCAGCATGCTATCTCAACAAGCATCATCTCCTGTGTGGCTCCGCCCTCATTACCTATGCATGAATGCTAACTGAAGTTGCACACAACTCCAGTTTCTGAATGGTCACTGCCTTTGTTAACATATCTACTGGATTCTTACTTCCTGTAATTTTCTCCAGTTTCAACACGTCATCTTCCAATAGGGATCTGATGAAGTAGTACCGAAGCCCAATATGCTTCGTTCTAGAATGAAATGCGGAATTCTTCGCCAAGTGTATCGCACTCTGGCTATCACTGTGCAAAACATTCTTCTCATGTTTGAATCTCAGTTTTAACATACTCAACTTCTGTACTAGATAGAGTAACAATCTTCTGTATCTGTGACATCCAACTAACAACTGTAGTTCTAACAATGAATACATAGCCAGTGATACTTCTTTGGTGATCGACTTCACCGCCGAAGTCTGCATCTACGTACCCTTGCACTTCTACCTCTCCCTTACCAAAGTGCAAACACTTCTGTGTGGTGCCTCGTAGATATCTCAGAATCCACTTGACCACTTCCCAATGAGCTTTTCCTGGATTCAACATAAACCAGCTAACCACTCTTACTACATAGCCAATGTCTGGTCTCGTATAGACCATTGTGTGTATATCAAACTTCCGATAGCTGAGACGTAAGGGACCTTAGCCATACTCTCTTTATCTTCTTCTGACTGAGGAGACTGATCCTTCAATAGGCGAAAATGGCTAGCTAAGGGTGTGCTCGCTGGCTTGGCGTCGCCCATGTTGAATCTCTACAAAACATGGTTGATGTACTCCGTCTGAGATAACGACAAGAGACCTCTCTTCTTATCTCTCGTGATTTGCATTCCAAGGATCTTCTTCGCTGGACCCAAGTCTTTCATGTCAAACTCCTTTGACAGCTGCTGCTTCAAACTCTTGATATCCTCCATATCTACACCTGCAACTAACATATCATCAACATACAGCAGTAGGATGATATAACTGGACTGATATATTTTGAAGTAGCAACAGTGATCAGTGTTGCACTTCTGGAAACCTTTCTTGTGCATGAAGCCGTCAAACTTCTTGTACCACTGTCTTGGGGATTGTTTCAGGCCATACAAGCTCTTCTTGAGTCTGCACACCAGGTTCTTCTTCTTTTCTTCTGAGAAACCTTCTGGTTGGTGCATATATATCTCCTCTTCTAGATCTCTGTGAAGAAACGTCATCTTCACATCTAATTGCTCAAGATGAAGACCTTCAATTGCTACAATACTCATCACAGTCCTGATAGTATTTAGCTTCACCACGGGAGCAAAAATATCGGTTTAGTCAATTCTTTCCTTCTGCTGGAATCCTTTAACAATTATCCAAGCTTTATATTTTCTGGAGCCATCCTGCTCCTCTTTCACCCGGTACACTCATTTGTTGTGGAGGTCCTTCTTACCCGTGGGCACCTCAGCTAGTTCCCACGTCTGGTTTGAAATGAGAGACTTCATCTCATCTTTCATGACAAACTCCCACTTGCTCTCATCTCCACTCTGACAAGCTTCATCAAAGCTTTTAGGCTCTCTCCACCATCTATCAGCAACAGATAGTTCATGTATCTGCTGTTAGACACAGGAGGATGAGTAATTCTCCTTAATATCGAAGCTGGTGCGTCGGACTTCTGCGCACCATTCTGTCCAACAGGCTCTTCTGCCTGAGTACCTTTTGCATTAGGTTCTCCCGAGAGGTTATATGGGACATCATCTGCATCTACAAATGTTGACTCGCTCTCTGAGTCATCTGTCTTGTGTATGTTCTTGTACATCACCTTCTCTGTAAATATCACATCTCTACTTCTGATCACCTTCTTATTTTCGTTATCCCAAATGCGGTAGCCAAACTTATCTTCACCATAACCGATGAAAGTGTATTTCTTAGACTTGGGATCAGACTCATTCCTACCTTGATCACTAATATGCACATAAGCTACACAACCGAAAACTTTGAGATGTGAGAGGTGTTAGACCCTAGAGGGGGGGTGATTAGGGTCTATTGCTTATCTAATCCAATATTATGCCAAATTAAAATTATATTGAACTATTTGTTCTTGCAAAGATATATATGCAATATAATATGAGAAAGAATGTAAAAGGTAACAATAAAATAAATGTGCGCAAAGCAATCACAAACACACGATATGATCACGGAGTTCGGTCCCCACGACCTACGTCTCCGCTCCTCACCTTGAGGAGATCTATACTATCACTACATACCCGGTTTGGAAGACAAAACTTCTTTTACACACTCGGTTATCAAGTTAATCGATAACTCTCACAAATCCTCACAATGTACATACACAAGCTACAACCTCAAGTGTTGGTCCTCACGTATCGCCTCCCTCAAGTGCTCGAAATTACCACCTCTCACTAGGCTTTACAACCGACGCCACTCCTCTTGGTATCGACTACGTCCTCACCACACACTCCTCTTGGTGTACAAGTGTATTACAATGTGATCTCACAAATAAGTAAGAATACAAGAAAGGTTGTTCTCTACAATTGACGAGGACTCAATTAAGCTCACTCTCATTCGATCACACACCACTACCCAACAATATATTGTATGAAATATAATAAGCTCAACAAAGGTGTGTGATAAAAGCAAGTAATAAAATTGCAACTCAATTAATATAGCT